CCCCAAAACCCCAAAACCCCAAAACCCCGTAAGGTTCTATATATACACGCGTGGTAGGTATGTGGGAATAAATTATATATGCAGGGCTTTTATTCTTATTAGTAATTAATTGTTTGCTTAGGAACTAAGGATTATTAAATAATGTCAGTGGAACAGGCTCGCATGGTAAGCAGCAAAAATGGAACTAATAAAATTATTCCTAATATTAAATTTTAGATGAAAGACGCATGCATATTAGCTTCTAAATTTTTCGAAGAACTAGCTACAGTATTCTCAGGTGGTCAACCAGGTAATTTTACTAATTCTAAAGAGTGCGGGGATCTCTTTGAGGTGCGGACTTAGGCATTGCCTTGAACGCACTTGCAAGGAGACTTCGCTTGGTGTAGACTCCCTAACAAAAGGTGCCAAACACAAAATCAAAGAAAAGGAAAAATCAGACAAAAAATAGGAAAGTCTCTCTCAACACGCAGACAAAGATCATGGTGAGGCACAAGTCACCTCCTCTGGTACCTAAAAGACTAAGGGAGAAAAGGAAAAGAAAAAGAAGAAGAAGAGCAGAGATGACAAAGATAAGAATGGGGTTGATGCTATCAAAAGACCACTTTCTGCTTATATGCTCTTTAATAATCACAGAAGACCAATTCTCAAGAAGGAGCATGCCGGTAATCGAGATTTCATTTAACTTTTACAGCTATGAGCTTACCTGAGGTTTCCAAAATGATTGGAGAAGAGTGGAGCAAGCTCACTGCTGATTAGAAAAAGGTATGTATAGATCGAATTTTCAAGAGTATCTATGATGGAGTTAAATTTCCATTTTTAAAATTAATAATAAAAACTAAGTCTAATTTTTGTGCTTAGATTTGGAACGAGAAGGCCAAAGAGCAAAAACTCGAGTACGACCTAAAGACCTACAATATCAACTCTGGCAAGGCAAAGCCTGAGTCTGAATCAGTGAAAGTCGCTCCAGCTGAATCTTCAAGTAATCCATTTTCCCATATCATCATGTTTAGAGTGTATGAAAAACAATCCCAATTCTAATTTTATATTCTAGCTGAGAAAAAAGAAAACCATCATGTAGTTTAAACTGCTCAACCAAGTAATGGAACTGTCGCTGCATAAAATGACAAGACTAAGAAAGTGTAATTTAAACTATTTAGTTTAACCAAAATAGAGTTCCCAGAAAAGATTCAAGCAGCCTCTCATCTATCTCTGATGACGATTGTAAAATTTAACATTTCTCTAACATTTATGCAGAAAGCCATCCAATCAACACAAAAACCAGCAAAGCAAAGGTAAGCGAATGAATTAAAGCAAAAATTTTGTATAGCCAGTTGAAAATGATAGCAGCAGCCTTGATTCAGATTGATAATAATTAAGACAACTTTACCGATAGGACTGAAATTCTCCGAAGTCTCTTCAAATTAAATAGGTGTGTTTGTGTTTCTCTCACAAGGGATATTGTCAAACTACTATTTTAAATATAAAGTTAAAGCGAATCATTATGCACTTTCATATGCTATATATCATTCATGGGGTTTTGGGGTTTTGGGGTTTTGGGGTTTTGGGGTTTTGGGGTTT